ACGTTATAATCTTAASTCRRAATAGAAATTCGTTGCGTTTAACTACCCATTATCGATGACTAAAAATGGCGAATTTACCAAGGATAAGTATGCAGTATTGTAAAGTTTGTCTGAGTTCTCGACGGGGTGCAAAATGTGTGACGTCATCTGTGCGGAGCGCTATTCTTAAAGGTTTAATTCTATAATCATTTTGTTTAGTTATGTAAATAAATTTAACACGACTTGTACTGTTTATCTGAGTGAAAGGAGAGCTGCGGGTTTTCCCTTTCCTTTATTTACACTTTCAAATATGACCGCTTAACAAAAATGCACGGGCTCACTGGTTTACAACCTTGGCGAATTCATATGCAGGCCTGGTCGCAAATCAATCACCCAGATTCGATAGTGATATTTTCAGTTTTATTCCATATTGTTTTTTACTTTACAACAAAATTGTATTCTTTGCGCGTCGGTATGTAATAGAGAGTACATGGCGCATGTGTATATGAACTGTTGCGTCTGGTCCAGAAATTTATTGTCANGTCGCGCCTTCAGTGCTCATCAGCCTCCCACATAATCAACCGCTCCCGGCGCCATCAGTATTAAAGCTGAAGAACCATTTGGGGAACTTTCTTAGCCTGAAAGAACACTGGTAAAACGTACTTTTCTTAATAACTGAATATTTAGTTGTTAATCATTACACAAAAATAATATTTAACATGTGGCTTAACTGAGAACCGAGAATTTTAACTGATAACTGAGAAAATTGCCAAAAGCTTTTTTTACCTCGTTTGATGGCAACGCAGGAAAATTTAGAAGAAAAGAAAGACTTAATTTTCAGATATTCCAGAACGACCACGCCACCTAAAGATGGGATCGAATTACCTGACTKCMYGGAACATGTGCACGAAYCTCATCGGTATTCGGAACTACTTCGGAAACGATGTTTTCCCGAATATTGCGCAGTTTAAATTAGTGCTTTTTAGATACTTCTTTCACAGAAAAATTAGAAATGATTTTAACTCAAATTAAATGCATTATTACTATAGTATCCCGATTTTTTTCTCTGAGCCGTGAGCCTAACATTTTGATCCCAGAGCCCAACCAGGATTTCGGAATTGAGCCCGGCCATTTGACCAATGAGCCCTGAGCCCATATACCATGTTACGAGTCTGAAAAGAGGTTGGTTTCTTGTTTAGCGTGACTATTGTTATTAAAGTATAAAAAGGTTTATTATGCGGACAGTCAAACTTGGCGAATGTTGAGAAAAGCAGTTACTCGAACTTTCTCTGTATAAAATGGTTTCATATTCGGACGGGCAAACTTCGCCAAAAATTGAGTAGCTACGCGATGATATCCTGCATTAGGCAAAGTGTATGAATATGGACGGACAAACTGTAAAGGCTTCATTCAAGGTTTTATGGAAAGAATTCGCGTGTTTTCATCTAATTACTCACAAATGTTTTTGCAAAGTTCGCTAACGAGCGCTAACGTTTATGTCCGGCGTCGAATTGCCTCTTGTCGCTGTTCGCCGTAATACTGAATTTTGTGCTAGGAAATATAGCGTTTTCACGACTGTTTATGTTACCACAACTTTTGACAACTGCTATCGGGTATTTTGGAAGAGGAATCGTATTCTTAAGTACGAAATTAAATAGAATTTTTATAGTTTTTTTGACTGGAAAATGACTGGAAACAATATTGCTCTGGGTGACGAGTTCCGTGAATGACGTCATGAAATGTTAGTTACCAGACTTCTGCATCGCTCAAAAATTTTGGCACAGGAGGCCCAAAACGGGATGATTTTTAGCACTTTTAGGCCTTTTTTTTTTAAAAAAATGACACAAATTTTTTTTTTTCGAGTTTAACCTACCAAACATAATTCATGACAGTCTAAACTTTTATTTTAAACCAAAATTGCTGAACCCATATATGCACTTTAAGCTGTTAGCAATAAATATGTATCTCAGCTACTCTAAGGCATGGCTCTCAGCAAAATATTTAATAATCCATCAAAAGCATTTCAATCAAACTTCATCAAACTTGGCCATTCTTAGTAGTATTGGCAAACCAAATATCTTTAACAGGATTTGTTGCCGTTCTTTCATAACGTTCTTTCATAACGTCCATGTAAGGAAGTCTGCTTTTAAAAACGAACGAAAACAAAGTAAATGATAACTGGGTGATTTGAGAAAATGCGACTAGCCAATCAGCGCAAAGCTGACAAGCTTATGTTGTAAACATAACCCCCCGACGGGAGGAATTTGCACAACAAAACTCGACCGAGTGGAGTAGGCTGCCTGCCATTTTATTCTATCCGAAAAATCAAAGCTAAAACGCAAAGACAAATTGAAAATCTTTATAAAATAGCTTTTATTAAATGTCAATCAAACACTTATCGTTATAGAAATAGAATTATATCTTAAAAATGAAATAGCAAATAATTTTTTCTTTAATACAAAGGGACTCCCCTCCCTGCTAAAAATAATTAGTCTGTGTTCTACGCGGGTTCTCCATTGCATGCGAAGCAATGCCCGACTTCACGAAGACTTCAGAAGGTCGTTGAAGCGACGTTCAAGTCCAAAGTATCTTATGGAGGAACCATTGCAAATCCTTTTTCTTAGCTCTTGTTTCCTCTAAGCTTTGAGGTATCTACAACATCACTGAAAGAGCTAGAGCAGCTTAGCTCCATGTATTCCAATAGAGTTAAAGCGTTTGTTATGTTTCATACAAACAACTGTCGTAGTTAATCCTTTGTCGCATTTTTGGCAATAACCCGCAAGCATGCTCGACGACACAACGAGTTGACGTTATGTAACAGGTCGCTTATACATTTACTAGCTTTGACCTTACAACGAGAGCTAGAACGATGACTGCGGTTTTCGTGTAATGTCTTGATAGCGACTGTTTATGTCGAAACGACTCAAAATAAAATTCCATCGTGGAAAAAGTTCGACTAAATTCCCATCTGAAAAACACGTGTGTATTTAAGGTGGAAAATGTTTCATATGAGCATTCAATTCTTAAAGGTTAAATTCTATAATCATTTAGTTTAGTTATGTAAATAAATTTAACACGACTTGTACTGTTTATCTGAGTGAAAGGAGAGCTGCGGGTTTTCCCTGTCCTTTATTTAGATTTTCAAATATGACCGCTTAACAAAAATGCACGGGCTCACTGGCTTACAACCTTGGCGAATTYATATGCAGGCCTGGTCGCAAATCAATCACCCAGAATATGGTGGCAGTTGGTCAGAAATGAAATTCTACTAAAAGGCACAGGAAAAAGACTTATATATAACTTTTTATACAATGACCTTTGAAAATTGACGTATTCTTGAAGGTTTTCAACCATTCCCATGAGAGTGATCAAAACAAAAAGGTCCACCAGTCACGGTGGTAGTTTTCTTTTGTCAGGTCCACCAGCAATGGCGGACATCTTTTGTTTAACTTTCTCCCCTGGGAATGGTTGAAAACCATCAATTGCTGAATATAGGCATGATTTTGGTGATTTTATTTGCTCGTTGGCGCGTATCGTAGTAATCTGCGGGCCGCCGGCACTACTGACCTTCAAAGTCTTCATTTTAAAACACATCTTGTACCGTCTCAACATCAGCCATAGGCCCCATAGGCTTTGCTAAGATAGATTCTTTACTGTAGACAAAATAGGGCCAATACCAAAACTCCACAAGAGAACATTTTCACGATGTCTGCAGAAGACGTGGGGTACTCAATCGTCTCTATAGTCTCTATCGTGTTTCTGAGTGGTTTTACAAGGGGTTAAGTAGATTAATACTCCTGTGACCGTTACAATTCTTTTGAAAATTCTCTTATCTTATTGGCTGACATATACAGTATAGACATCCTTAACTATATTTGAAAAGTTCAAATCACTTGAAAAGTTCATACAAAAGTGATATTAAAAAAATATTATTGAATAGAATCCTCGTGGTATAATATTCTTAACAGTATAGGCGCGGCATTTTTTTTATCAAAAACTTTAGAAAATCAAATGCAAAGTTCGAAATTAAAATATGTTGGTCTTTAGATTTGGGTCAAAAAACGAAAAACACTACAAAACGCCATATTGACTGAAAAAAGTATTCGGTATTTGCTGACAACGTCATTTGTATTTCATTGAAAGACCTTCAAACTAGACACGAGTATTAACAGGCTACTTGGACGAAAATTGCGAAATATTAGAAAATATACTTGGACATCAAATAGACCTATCCATATGGGTCTAATAATCATGAAGCAACAGATTTCAAGAAGATATTGATACAAATCCTTAATAATTAGGGCAAAAAATGTTGGAGTAAATGACGTCATAAGTTTACTCCATCCTTTTGTTCTTCCATCTTCTCAATCAAAATTTTCCCGATGTGGGATAATTCCAAAACAAATATTTTCCAGCAATTTTTTTTAATAGATATAAATAAGTCATATATTCGTATTGCTTGAAGCTTTGAAATAAGTCGATTTTCATGCAAGAAGCACTTTAACATTGAGCAGACAAGAAGTATAAGATCGTTTTTATTTTAATCATGATTAAATATTTCTCCCAGTCTAGTTATTATTCCTGATATCGTTTTTACGATAACATAATTTTCGCTTGATTGCCGCCGCGTAAATGGTAAAGCTTTTAAAGTAAAAGTCAGCAACGGGAAAAGATTTCCTCTGTGTTTTTGAATTGAGCAGAATCAGTGCTTGTTTTTGTGGTAAGACACGATTTTAATATAGTGTTAATCTGAAATTGAGCAGCCATTCTTATGACTATGTATTGAGTTTATAATAACTATGTTTTGGACAAGTATAGCTAAACGTGATCTCACGCAGCGACGATAATTTCGGACTCGCGCCGAGGAGCATCCTCGGGAACCCAGGTGTAATCTTCTGTCGTTCGTTCCTCACTCCCAGAAAGAATACCCCTGGGCACGAAGTCTGTTAGCTTTGTTCTCGATTCGAAATTCAACCACATGAAAACCACATGAAAAAACGACTATAATACAATTCGATAGTGATATTTTCAGTTTTATTCCATATTGTTTTTTACTTTACAACAATATTGTATTCTTTGGGCGTCGAGTGTTATAGAGAGTAAATGGCGCATGTGTATATGAACTGTTGCGTCTGGTCCAGAAATTTATTGTCAGGCATTTGATGCTTTGATMTTTTGTGTGATCACTATAAAATACAAAAGAATTAACAAAGATGTTTAAATTAATTTTTTTGTCTTTCATTTTTCAACCTTCATTTGTCTMTATATTTTTTAATTATAGTATTGTTTGTTGATGTTGTTGCTGCCTTTCTTGTTTTTTTTTTTAGAAATGTTTTTTTAGATATGTAAATACATGGGTGAGAGATTGGAAGATGGGACGAGTCTAGCTATATAATTTANTTTGAGAATGTCACATAAAGTGCAAAATAAGAAACAGAATAAAAAAAATTGATATCATGATTGATTAGGACATCTGCCTAATATACCTACCTACTGACACAATCCACATGATTTTTTACATTTTAGTTTCATGTATGCAGGATTCTTTTTGCACTCTCCCAACTTAGCCCATGCTTTACAACTGGTGTTCTTGTCAGTGCAAGGTGCTCCTGATAAACAAGGATAATGAATATTTGATGTGATCTTTTCAAATTCATTTGCGAGTCTTTGAGTTACATAATACACCGTTTCCATCGTTTTGTACTTGTTTAAAGCCTGAGCCCAGCATTGATGTTAAATTTAACAAATTGCGCACGGTTTTTCGTTGTATGCCCTTTAATTGGCTTCATACGATGTTCAAAACTCAAGTGGACCCACGAGAGCAGCGAAATTAGTGAAAATCATTCTTTTTTTCCAACTGAGCGCGCGCGAAATACGTGATGGTGTCAGCACATTGTGAATGTCTTCTTATTGACACACTCAGCCAATCAGCGCACGAGAATTTACACAAGTGCGTTAAAAAAAAAGGAATTTCTGTCGGAATGAGATCATATGTTTGAGATACTAACCTTGACAAATCTTGCAGCTTTTTGAACAATTTTTAAGCATCCAAGCCTTGTTTTTGCTGCATTCTCCATTCTTTGCCCAAAGCGGGCATTGAACCTTGTTGGTGTCTATACACTTTTTATTGGGTGTGGTAACAGACGTTTGATCTTTAAAAAAGATGACAATTCTGAGCTCTTCGTACGTACAGAATACGTGTTGCTATGGTGGCTAATCGGGATGCTAAGCTATGGAGCTAGATTGTAATTTTTTTCGTATTACTGTATGAGATATTCCCATTGCAACTTACCATTGCATATCTTACAGCTTCTTTGACAATGGTCTGACATCCATTTTTTGTTCTTCTGGCATTCTCCTTTTCTTGCCCACTTGACACATTTTACATACTGATCCTGACAGGCTTAAACGTTAAACAGATTTTACATTAAATAGTGATGCTATGAATTTCACCGTGACGATGACGAAAGCCTGATCTTCGCAAACGTCAGCATAATTGATTTATTAACTTACAATTGTCAGCACTTAAAAAGATAACTTTGTCTACGTCTTTCAAAGGTATTTTGTTATTTCTAAGCTTTTGGATCAATCGGATAGGGAACTATGCTGAAACAAATGACTTAAGCCGTGAATTAATAGCTATCAAAACTGCATGTAATTTGATTATTAGTTATCTCGGCTGTCGCACTTAGTCCGCCTCTCTCTATTAAAGTTGTAAATTGCGAATATTATTTCAGTGAACAATTTATATCTAACATTGGTCAATTCAATTTAATAAAAAACTTAAAAAAAAGACTTAAACTGTAGAAAAAACATGGTCAACGAATATTTTGCAAATGGAAAGAAGAAACGAAGAGAGGCGGATGCATGGTTTATTTCCAAAAAGAATTGTATTTTCTTCAATAACTGTAGACAGTTACTTGACTCATATATTCAGATTTGAACTAAACACTAATACTGTTGACATATCGTTCGTGTTATGCACGCAACAACTGCAATCCTCATGTACTTTTTTAATTGCTTAAGTCAGTTATCTCACCTTTTTAGCTCCCACATCAGATGGGTCGATTCATCCGAAAGCTCGAAAAATAAAAACAATCCTTTGTCTGATGTAAATAAAGCTGTCATTTTTTCACTATGATAGGCAGGGCCGTAGCTAGGGGGGAGCACAGGGTGCACGTGCACCCCCCATCAGTGCAAAAAAGTCCGCTTTTATCAACATTTCATTTTTCAATTGCTTGAAATAATAATAGCAACAATAATTTATTATAATAAAAAAAGAAAATAAAAACTATTATCTGTAGTGTCATATTACCTATGTCCTCCCTACTTTTGTTTGGGTTGTAGTTAAAGTAACCATCATTCTTAGCTCTAAAAGTGCTGCTTGGCGTGTGATATTTTTTTGTTAAAGCAACTTACTACGAAATGTTACTCATAGGTCCGTTTTTTATTTGATGTGCTCCCCCCGAGAAATCTTCGGGCTACGGCCCTGAATAGGCTATGTTCCTGTTGGTGAGCATACTTACAGCACTTTCCAGAGTCAAGATAAACGTCATCAATGGCGATGTCAGAGAAGCCTGACTGACCGACTGTGGCAATAATCTCCACCTTGAGGAAAAACAACTACATAAATTCTCAATTCCAATTGTATTAACAAATCACATACTATTTTGTAATTAGTTCCACTAGTTTTACTACTCGTTAATCGTGTGAATGAAGGGAGTTTTGTAAAAAAATGATTCTCTCCAAGAGATAAAATCCGACCTCATAAAATCTATGAGAAGTGGATAAGGCTATCGCAAACAAGCGACCCCTTAAAATTAGAATAGTCTTCTTTGCTGTTTCCTGCGGCATCTTGGAATACCTTTTGGGGTCCTGAGCTGACTCCGTACCTTTTTGGGTCATTTTTTGAACAACGGGAAAAAATTGAAGAAGTTTTAATAAAGAAATAGATTTTATTAAACTCAACAATCTATAGACATTTTCTACAGTTTGTTAAACTTTAGCTTTTCTCCTGTTAAAGACGTCAAAAATGCTCGTACCTTTTAGGGTCTGGAATCGATACCTGAATTGATTTATGCGTACATTTTAGGTCCATTTTTCAATCCGTCCGTCGAGCATACCTACCATGCTTTATAGGGAAGTCCCCTCCTCCCCCCGGGGTCTCCGCATCGAAGCAATACGAGTTTGACGCAACGAAAAGGCAAACAAAAACGTGCAAAATAAAGCGTAGTAATTAAGCGTAGAACGCTAACGTATATTTCACGGGTTCATGCGAACCTGACACTTTATACAAGTAAATAATTAACTTAAATACTAAATCATTCTAAGTGGTCACCAACCTGATAGCCCGCCAAGGGATAATTAAAAGTAACAGCGGCAGTGTGCCAAAAATTTCCTTTATCACCATGTTTGTAAAATTTGCTTAAGTGCTTCCCATTATATCTCAATTTGACTTCCAGGGAACCTGTTGTTTTTCCGTACATCGAGTAGGCAAACTTCAAACACTTTGGAAGTTTGGAAGTTATGGGCGGGCTAATAAGTATTGCCCGGTCGTTTTTCTTTGCTGGTAATGACGACTCTATGTATAGGTAGTAACCTGAGAATACAAAGCACTGTAAGAAATAATGTATAAAAACCTGCTTAACGTACATATGCTGCGGTCACATTGTTGTAGACGAAAGAGGTCTAA